AGGGACTTCCAGAGATCTCCCAGCATGACCCCTTACCACAGGATGAACTAGAACAGATTGCTCAGAGCTACATCCAGTCAGACTTAGGCCATCTCCAAAATTTCTGTTTCAGAGTTTGACCACTCTCATAGTAAAATAATTATATTTAAAGGAAGCTTCCTGTATTTCAAGTATGTGTGCTCATATGTATCAATAAGATCTCTGCACACACATTCTGGAACTTTCTCTTCTCCTGGTTGAAGAATCCCAGCTCTCTCAACCTGTATTCACAAGAGATAGTTCAACCTTTAATCACCATCACATCCAATTGCTGGACTAACTTCAGTACACAGTTTGTATGCAGAACCCAGAACAAGACTACGCATTCCAGACAGTTTCCACTCCCTAGAGCTAAGTGAGAGACCATTCCCACAGAACTGCCAGTGATGCTATGGCCAGTACAGCGCAGGAAGCTGCTGACCCTCTTTGTCTCAAGGGCACATTATTGGCTTACGTTCAGTTTGGTCCACCAGGGCTTACATGGCTTTCTCTCACAGAGCTGCATTCCAATCAGTCAAACCCCAGCCCCAACTGGCATGCAGTTATTTCTCTCCCCAGGATGGAGACCGCGATTCCCTCTGTGGAACTTCACAGTATTTCTGACAGACCATTTTTCCACTCTCTCCAGGTCCTTGCAAACTTCCGTGGTGCATCTAACACTCCATCACAGTTTTGTTCCCTCTGCAAACTCGCTGAAACCACCCTTAGTTTCATAGTCCAGGTTGTTAATAGAAACGTTAAACAGTATTACCACCCCTTTCAGTCCTTGCAGTATGCCACTAGAGACTATTCTTCAAGAGAGCTTTATGCTGATGATTCCTTTGAGCCAAGCAAAACAGTTTTCAGCTCATCTCATTGTCTGCTTTTGTGTAGTTCACACTTCATCAGTTTGTCAAAGAGAATGTTACAGGAGACAGTGCCAAAAGCCTTACCAAAGTCAAGATAAACATCTACTGTTCTCCCCTCACATACTGAGCTAGTCACCTTATCATAGAAAGCTCAGGTTCATCAAGCACGATTTCACCTTCATAAATCCATGCTGACTATTTGTAATCACCTTGTCTTTTATGCGATTGGAAACAGTTTCCAGGATTATCCGCTCCATCAACTTCCCAGTGATTGATGTGAAGTTGACCACTTCACATCTCCCCACTTTTTGATTCTTCTTGAAAAGAGACAGTTGCTTTCTACCAGTCCTCAGGAGCTACACCCCCAATTTCCACAACTTTTCCAAAGATAATCAAGATTAACCTCACAATGACAGAGTCTAGTTTGTTCAGCACTTGCTGGTACAACCCATAGAATTGTGTACATTCCATTTAAGTACGTCTTAGCCTGATTTTCCTCTACAAAGGGCAAGTCTTCCTTGCTCCAGACTTCACTACGGATCCTCGTGGCCTTGGATTGCTTCAGGCAAGCCTTACTGTAGTGACCATTGTGAAGAAGGCAAGGAATATCTTATCATTTCCATGTCCTTTTCCACAAGATCCCCCACTACATACAGGAGTGGATTCGCTTTTTCTCTCACTGGCCCCCTTTGGTTTTGATATTGCTTTAGAAGATTTTTTTTTTTATTATTTTTTTTTTTTTTTTTTTAAATCACCCTTAACTTGACAGATTCTGGATAGACTTTGGCTGTCTTAACACCCATTCCTGAATGCTCACTGTCTCTATATTCCTCTTAGATCATCTGTCACTGCTTCCACTTCTCTTACACTTTTAATGGAAACTGCCAGGTAACTCTCCATGCTTCCTCCATTCCCATATTTTACCATAAACAGCAGTCAATTTACTCCCCAGGGGATTTCTAGGCAGTATGGTTCTACAGCAAACTTTTCATGCATTTTAAAAACTGACTCATAATCAAATAACAGTAGTAGTAAACAAAGCAAGTTTAGCCCTTCATGGTTAATGATCTTCACTGAACTGTACCTTCAAAGAAGGTACTTTCTAAACAAGGTCTTATCTTTCCCCTTTTCTTGATTTTAAACTTATAAAGACATCTTAGCACTGCAGGGCTTCCATCTATTTTAGGTTTTAAGTAGCGAGCTATGCAAGAATAAGTAATAAACATGCTTTTGTGATTACTGTAAGTCAAGCTGCATCCAATTTCCTATTGTTATAGATCTTGCATTATAAAGGAGTTACCTCCCCATTGTGGCAGTCCATTAGCATTCACTTTGAACATGACTCCACAAGACATCATGAAAATGAGTCAGGTCACGGTAATTCAGACCCCTAAATTAGGCATCACATGCTAATAGCAGCCTCTTGTGTTTTGTATTAGATGATAAAAATATTTCCTCATTCCATTCTTATTTCTCACTGATAACACATATTGAAATATGCTCACAGTATGCACATGAGAACAAATCCAGGTATATTTTCTGAAGTACTTTTGCAATCCTCCCTAGCATGCTCTATGATTTTTCAGAATGATGCTAGTCTTTTCCCTGAAACAAATACAGTATTCGGGATAATTAATTTTACTTGTTTCCAAGAGTATCAAAGATCCTGCACGTCCAAAAATGTATTGATCTGTAGTCTTGTTTAAAATCTTGATTCTCACCAGCAGTGATTTTTGAAAAGCAGTTGAAAGTCAAACAACTGTGTCCAGTATCTCAAAGATTGCAAGTAAGCAAGTTCAGAGGAAAGCAGTTGAATCCTGTAAGAAGTTTTAGGTTTCCAGAAGTATTAGCTATCCAGAAGCATTAGGTTTCTTGGAAGTTCTGCAGCATTATACACTTCTATCTTAATTAATTCCTAGGTAATTATTAATTCCACACATTTTAAAAAACTTGCTTATCCATTCTAAAGTTGCAGTATCTTAATGACTGATCTGAGAAGGGTAGGAAAACAGCATTTTAACAGTAGAGGTTATAAAATGATCAGTTACTACCAATACAGTTCAGATAGAGTACAAAAAAAAACACTCAGAAGATAGAAATATGAGGTAACATCATATTCATAATATCCACCTGGGAAAACCAAGAAATACATCTTGGAAAAAAAAAAAAATCACCCTGACATGTTCAATATAAACAAGACAGCAGTAAGACTGTCTATGCATAATACAAGTCATTTCAGAAAGCAAGCAGGACAGGAGTAACCAAATGGCTGTAGGAATTCCAGAGCACAGGAGACAAGAGAATGGAAGAGATCACCTCTTCCCACATCACAAGGTCCCTAATCATTAAGCATGTTGATAATGCTGGATTTCAGAGGATGACATGAGAACCTAATATAAAAGCTATAGCAGTTGAAAATAGCAATGCAGACTCAATTTTGTTTTAAAGTCTTATCTCTAAGTCAAGCTTGAAGTTCAACAGGAAATTTAAGGGTTACAATAGTTGACCTGTCACCTCCCAAACTGTAAGAATCAACATTGTGAACATCAAGGTTAATAATACTAAAGGGGAAGAGGTGCTCCAGACACTAAAGCAGATATTCCTACGTGGCCTATGGAAAAGACCATAGTAGATATGCTAAGTTGTCCTTGGCTGACTGCCAGACAGGAATCACACTGCATTTTTGTTGTAGTAAAGCAGTGATGGGATGAGGGGTAATGCCCTTCCATGCATGGATGTTGTCCAACTTTGTAGGTATTATGATGTTATTTTGATGTGAGAATTTTTCACTCACCTTAAAGTTAACAACAGTTCGATAAGAAAAGCAAAAGCTGTTCACGCAAGCAAAGCAAAATAAGCAGTTTATTCACCTCTTCACATTGGCAGGCAGATGTCCAGCCACTTCCTGGAAAGCAGGGCTTCAGCACACAGAACAGTTACTTGGAAACACTAATGCCACAGCTATGAGTATTCCCCTTCTCTCCCTCTTTCCCTGAGCATTTTTTGGCTGAACATGCTGCCATATGGCATGGAATGTCCCTTTGATCACATCAGGTCAGCTGACTTGGCTATGTCATCTTCCAAACTCTTCCCCCCTCAGCAAGGCCAGTAAATATATTGGAGAGAAAGCCTTGATGCTGTCCAAGCCCTTTTAAATAGCAATCAAATCACTGGTATGTTATCAATACTGTTTAAGCCACAGGTGTAAAGAACAGCACTGATGAAATTTACTGCCAACTAGTCAGACAGTGCAATTCCTATTCCTTATTCCATAGGATTTTCATCACTCCTGGGTCTCAAGTTACACCAAAGTTCCCCTCAACTGTACTATTTCTCATTTCCAAAAGACATACAACTTATACTACACACCTAATCTACCTTTACCTTCAACAGAGGCTTATACAGCCTCTTTAACAGCATGCTGTCCCTGACTACGGGCCAAGTTCAATCCACCACACAAGATAGCCCATTTATACTTCAAAACTTAGATCTTCATAAAGAAGTTGCACAAGTTACTGAATTCAGGGACAGATACTAGATGAAGGAATCCCCATGAATTACCTTCAAGTGGTGTCAGATGAATTGTATACATAAGGATGTAAAGAATATCACCTTCAGAGATTTATCTGTCAGAGAAAAAAAAAAACAAAAAAAACAAGAAGTCTCTGCGTCCACTAGTCCCTTCACCTTGTGGTATCCTAACAAACAATTTTTTCCAGGAAGGAACACAACACTTCACTTTTCTACATCTACATCATTTTTCTACATCTACTACAGGAGGACCTCCTATAACAGCTTTGCTGCTATTTCTGTTTTCAAACTGTACCATTGCTATTGTTAGCTCATCTTCACCAACAAGTATCACATTACTGCTTCATTAATAGTCACTACTATTCAAACAGGAAAAGCAAATGAGAACGCAAAAATCCAGACTAAATTTAGAAAATTAGAAAGTCTTTTCTCTCATCTCCTCCTGATACATGGAAATAAATACTATACTAATTCCCATTCCTGAATGCACCCATGACTCTTAAAGCCAATATCATCCTTTCAAATGCTGTGCAAGCAAAATAGGGTTGATTTAAAGCTATTCTTACAAGCAAGGACTCTTACCTGTGTTAGCCCAAGGTAAATACCAAGGGCAGCTGACATTCACATAGGTACCAGGCAGTCCATCAGGCCAGCAGGCATAGTTGTCAAATGTTCTGTTGCAGAACTTGCCTTCTGCAAAGAGATGGAAGAAAGGGCATGCCACTGTCTTGTATTAACATAAATGCAGAAAAGACTGAAGAACAAAAGATAAAATACAACATGTGCATTTAAGCCATAATAGTATTATGCATTCAAACTTTGGAGTTAAAGTTTTTTTTGACAAGCAAGTCTTATTTATCCCTATGAAACTGGGATGGGAAAAAGTTGGGAATATGTTGGGAAAAAAAAAAAATTAAAAAAAAAAAATCAGTCAATTAATCAAGGGAGAAGAAAGGCACATCAATATTAAACCATTTTTTATCTTTTTCACACCCTCATGTGTCTCAGTTGGATTTAAAATAATTTTTGCTGTGAATACTGTAGATAATCATTGCTGAGAATTGGCTCACAGTCATGCGGTTGGAAGTCTAATCTAATATATAGAGATCCATCAACAAAATACCCACACACAACCATAACTTTGCATTACAGCTTAATCAACACGAGAGTACTTCAACTTCAGATTTATTAAACTGTCATTCTTAGAGGGCAGCACTCAGCCTCTCAACAGGATAATGGAGCAGAGAGAAATGAATGTTTTGCAGCCATTGTTGTCAACACCTACTGTTCTCACTCCACCATATAATAACGCGGTTAAGAGAAGGAAAACTGACAGTTTTAAGGCAATTATTCAGATACAGCTTTAGACACATCTCATCATTTTTAGTGTGCCACAACAGCACTGAAGCACAGCAGTGCCCATATTGTATCCAGTTCTGAGCGTCACTGACAAGTCACCAGTGTCCTCTAAACACCACAATGCTGGCACACTGCAGCTGTTCTCAGCACATTGGAGCAGCTCAACTGCTAAGATGAGCCACATTCTCATTTGCACTTGGCACGTTTTCTGCATGTGTATGTTTTGTTTTAAATGCCATTTCAGCATTTTACAATGCTCAAAATAATTTCTACTATTAGATTAACGTAAACAGTATTGTCCTTGACTTCTTAATTTATGTACTCTCTCAACCCTTACTTCTAAATTAAATTTCAGGAGTGCTATATTAGTAACCTCCTTTGATGCACTACAGCCACCACAAGACATTCTGGATCCGAAGATGAAAATCTTTACAATGAGATTTTTTTCTTAAAATGGTTCCTTTCAGCAGAGGGAAGAGTCCCACAGAGAACAGGTTGAAGGAAATGAAACAAAAAAGAGATGGACTATATAGTAAGCTGAAGAAGTACTTTCAAGTTCATAAATGCTCCCTTATGACTGTTATTTTGCATTTTAACAATACTTCGTATCCCTACCGAGCAGACTTACCTGCTGCAATAGGAGGTGCCTCATACAAGTATTTCAGGCATTGGAGCTGGTACTCCTTCCACTTCTGCACAACACCAGAGAGGGATCCATCTGTACTCTGAAAGAGAAATCATGAGTCTCAGACACTGAATTCAAACCACATTTTCCACGCAGCCTAAATTGGAGGATGTGAAGAGGTCTTGCACAACCTCATCTCCTTCTATAACCAAGTGATCCACCTGATGTGCCCAGGCAGCCAAGAATGCCAATGGCATCCTGGCTTATATCAGAAATAGAGCAGTCAAAAGGACCAGGGTGGTGATCATCCTTCTGTACACAGCTCTGATGAGGCTGTACCTTGAGTACTGTGTTCAGTCCTGGGTCCCTTGCTACAAGAAAGACATTGAAGCCCTGCAGTGTGTCCAGAGCACAAAAAGGCTGCGAGGGGTCTGGAGCACAAGTCTTATGGGGATTGGCTGAGGTAACTGGGATTATTTAGTCTGGAGGAGGCTCAGGGAGACATTATTGCTCTCTACAGCTCCTTGAAAGGAGGTAATGGTGAGGCAGGGGTTGGCCTCATCTTTTGGGTAACAGTGAAAGGACAAGAAGGAAGGACCTCAACTTGCACCAAGGGAGGTTCAGGTTCATTATTAGGAAATATATACACTCCAGAAGAGCAGTGAGGCAGTGGCACAGGCTGACCAGAGAGGTGGTGGAGTCACCATCCCCGGAGCTGTTTAAGGCAAGGGTAGGTGTAATACTTTAGGACATGGTTTAGTGAGCAATACTGACAATAGGTGGATAGTTAGAGTAGATGATAATAGAGGTCTTTTCAAACCTTAATGATTCTATGAATTCAAAACAGCACTACTCGTAATAAAGATTACAAGATGGTACTATGTGGTTAACTGCAACTAAAGAAATCTTTTTCTGTTGGTATCATGAAGAAAGAAAAAAAACAACAACTAAGCTGTACTCTCAATGAAACCCAAGCTAAGTTAGCTTTGCTGTCTCAAATCACAGAGGGGTTTGAATTGGAAGGGACCTTTAGACCATCTAGTTCCAATCCTCTTCCATGTGCAGGGACACTTCCTACTAGACCAGGTGGCCCAAAAACTCCATCCAACCTGGCCTTGAATGCTTCCAAGGATGGAATATATTTTTTCTGAGGCTACAGAAAGAGCAGGGACTTCTTTTCAGCACAATATGACAGGCTGCAGTATCACCTTTTCCAAGTACCAAGGGGCAGAGTAGGAAGTACATACAGATTCTGCACAAAGGCAATCAGATGTTATTAAACTATAGAATATGTGCTGGCTGTTCATTCAACCCTAACCAAAGCCTCACCGTGCTCACAGAGGCCCAGCTTACCCACTGCAATTAAGTACACAGGCAACAATTCACACTTCATATTCATATAAACTGAATTACAAACATAAGGATTACCAGGCTCTAAGTAATTGATAACACAGCTAATTCAGCATTCTCTTCCCAGAATAAAACCCTGCATGGATGTCATAAAAACCTAACAGCGTAAACTCTGCAGTACAACTCTAATAGAGGAGAAAAAGTCATTTAACCCCAGCTGTTGATCAGTTTATGAAGTGAAGCGCGAGGGTTAATAACCCTCGTAATTTACCTCTCACAGCTTCAACTGCAAATTTTTTGCCTTCTATTTCAGCTTCTAAACTTTTTTAGATGCTTAGAAAAAAATATGGCAGGACTTGGGAAGGTTTGTTTAAAGCCACATAGCTGTTTAAAATTTATACTGTATTTCCAGAAAGGCAACCTGGATGCTATTCACTACAAACAGTACACCTTTAAGAAATGGTTGCATAATCTCTTTGGTAAAAAAACATTTTTGGACTACAGACCTTAAATCCCTTCTTTGCTCTTGAATCCTCCAATGATTAAAAATATAGTTTTGAGGAAGAAACAAGCAATCAGGAATACCACCACATTCATTGTGCTCCTGCCTGGATTAAGACATAACATCGAATTACAAGGATGCACTTCAACATATGATGAGAAATACAACATTTAGTAGGTATCTGTTGTGTTTTAAAGAATGGTAGCTCCCTGTATTTACAAGCAACTCTTAACTGTAGCTAGGGCCTCATGGTCATAATTTTAAAAGAATTTGGCCAACTCCCACAGAAGTCAAAACAAGTACAAGCCTGTGGATCTTTCCAACTCTGACCCTTGTCTTCCTGATTTAAATCATCCTGGTCACATTTCACTTATGCCAATAAATGCTGCCAAAGTCCGTCTGGGCTCAAGTCACCAGCACAAAAATGAATGCACCTTACTGAATGTTAACCCTGCGTGTATATGGTAACACAGAAACCTGTACATTGAGGTCCCTTCCAACCCCTGCAATACTGTAATTCTGTGGAAACATTATTGCCCAAATTAAAGTGTGGAGAAACACACAGTCAGGAGCTCCAGAATGTCATCTACAGATCTCTGTAGACTGAATAAGGAATGAATGACGGGTATGGGAAGAGGGAAGAACTTTCAAACCTAAGTTTCTCCCAGATAGCCTTCAGAAGGAAACTTTCAGGTTACACATTGTTTAAACGTCTTTATCTTACAAGGGTAGCCATTAAATTTATACAGGATTGTTTTACCCCCTCTCGGTCACCATGTTGATACTTTAATACATAAATTAATAGGAACATTCTCCAGACAAACTCTGAAGTTCTAATTGAGAATAATTTCTGAAGCTACTCACTGTTCCACATCTTCCCAAAAAGTAACGGATGATTATGCATGCAAGTGAATGCATCAAGTTGATCCAAATCCAGACTTGCAGATTAATATGTATACAGAGTTTCATTTAGAAGTGAAAGACTACATTAGAAACTATCACCACAAACCTAAAACTGTGAAAAATAGTTTGTTGGAGGCAGAGATATTTTGAAACAAAATACTCTCTTTTAAATCAAGTTTTCATTTATTGTCTTCATGAATACAGGAACAGCCAGTTGTAATTAAAAACTAGAAAAAAAAAAAAAGGCAAGCCTCTATTCCTCTATTTAATGAAAAAGTAGAAATATTCTAATCTATAGTGGTTTTTCATGATGTGAGATGACAACTAACGCGATTATTTTAGTCTTAAAATTTGCTAATTAGAAACACCTTTTTGTAGAGACTGATTTAGTAGGTTTCTATTATCTACAGTCACTTGTATTAAGACAATCAAATATAAAACCCAGGACTACATACTTTATTCTCTCCATTAAACAGGTCACTCTGCTTCAGCAGTGTTACCAAAGTTAGGTTAAATTTGATTTTACTATATGCTATCTGTTGCAGCTTCTACAGGACCCATGTATATATAGACTTATGGTAACAGCTGATATTCAAATAACAGATACCGTATTTTTTTGAGGAGTGATTTAATTTCTTCAGCAATATCAATGCACTAAGAATGCTTCTATGAAGACAAAGCTCCTGGGACAGTACTCAGAATTTGGAACAAATTCAAGAGTCATATTAATTGTAGGGCTGCCTTTCATTGCTAAAAGCACCAGTTCGTTGTGTTTTTGTTGAGTTTTGCCTCCTTCCATTTATACTCATCCACAGGAGTGAGAACATCAGCAGCAGTTTTGCTGGATGAAGATATATCCAAGACAGATAGTGGAGAAGAGGATGGAAGCATAGCTGACTATTTAAAATGGAAGAATGAAAAGGCAAGAATGGGTGAAGGACATTAAGGAGGTGAGTAATGGTGAAGCTTAAGTAGCATAAATTGGAGGCAGGATAATTGAGACAGACAAAAGCACACAGACTGGGGGCCTTTCAGTGTAGGAACCTAATTAAGTGTAATTAATCTCTAGTGATAAATTAGCTCATTCAACAGTCTGAAGACTGAACGCTTTATAAAACCTCAACATCTTTACAGGAAACCCTCTTTCTGTAGCCACCATTTCTATCATAGACCCTACTGTAAAAGGAAGCATTTCAATCACTTTCCAACATCTTTGAAACTATTTGAGGAAAGGCTGAGTGATTTGTGTCCGTTCAGTCTGGAAGAAAAAAGAAAAAAAAAAAAGAAAAAAGAATGAGAGGGGATCTCATTGCTGTTTATAAATATCTAACGAGCAGAAAACAAATGGATGGGGCTGGACTCTTTTCAGTGTTGTGCAGTGACAGGATAGGAGCAACAGGCAAAAACTGGATCTCAGGAAGTTGCATATAGTTAACTGAAATAACTTCTTTACTGTGAGAGTGACAGGGCACTGAAACAGGCTGCCCAGAGAGGTTGTGGACTCAGTGATCTCTAGAGGTCCCTTCCACCCTTTAGGATTCTATGATTCTATTGCTGCTCTTACAAAAAAACAGCATCCATAGGTACACAAGGTGAGCTGTGCACAAAGGCACTACTCTAATATAGTGAAATTGGAGCACAGAATACGAACGTTGAAGGCGCTGACTTCGGACAAAATACACCATGAAACTTCAGAGAGGAAAGAAGATTTCTCAGAGCTTCAGCCGTTGATTCCTGGGATTACCATCTTTCCTCTTCCCCCAGACATTATATAAGAGATCTTACATGCGAAAGAAAGTGAAAAACTCCTTCTGTAAGATTTCTACCTGCTGCTAAGGGTTCATATTTTATGTAACAATCACTAGCACCTCCAAAATACTAATTTCAGTCTTCAAAAGTAAATGCTAGAAAACCTAACACTGAAGCACACTTCAATATGGCCTTGGTATTCTTGCTTCAGGTAGGAAAAGTAACATCAAACTTCTCAGAGGATAACTCAGATTAAATATGCAGCCTTTCATCTTGGTAATACTAAAAAGTTAAACTTTTTTCCCCTCAAAAAAGGCCAATAAAAATCCAATGCAACACATTATTTAAAGGTTATGCTGTTCAGAATCAGTACAACAGAGACTGAGGTAGGGGAAGATTGTACGCTATTAGCTTTAAGTTCATTCAACATTCTTTCCTCTATAATAAGAATCTTATTAAACTGTTCTGTGCAAGTGAATCTGCACCAATTAAAGCACTGTTTTATTCATAAGATGGATTTACATTTACACAGATTTTGTCCTCATTTCATCTCATTTCACCCCAAATTGGGCAGAGCACAACAACACTGCAATGTCGTGACCCACAGCCACCTTCCATCCTCCTGGACAAGAATCTCAGTCAGAAAGAATGACTTAGATGTTTCAAATGTTTCAAGATGACATAAAGCATGAGGCTCATTTACAGCTTCTTGAAAACACTTTCCCACTTAGCAAATGCCTTGCTAAAACAAGT